TTATCCCAGAAGTCTTACAAAACCCCATAATGTAGATGAGCAGGAAGATGGTAAAGATGGAGAGATGAGAAACTGCCTAAAGTTCACTCACTCAGCCTATGCTGAACAGAAATTCTAACTAGGGAATTTCAACCTCCCAGTCTTAGCTGACAGCATATTAACTTACAATAACTGTTCTGTGGCATGACACTTACATTCATCTGGGGATAATTCTCCATTGGATTACTCTTTCTTAACTGATCTCTATTTCTATCATGGGTTGAGGCAACTCTGGCCCTCAGTCTACAACTTCCATCCCATGCAACCATTAACAATGTGGGCTGAGGCAGGTAGAAGTTGCAGTCCAAGAATATCTAGAGGATCACTGCCTCCCACCTCTGATTTATTTAGAAGTCAGTTTCATCTCATTCCTTTGTGCTCAGGAAACATAAACAAAGCTTGAGAGCCAGTGTGGTGCAAGGGCTGAAGCGCTGCATTAGGTCTTGGGAGATGCTGGTTCTAGTCCCTAGCCATGAACCTCAATTTGAGCCAGTCACAGACTCTCAACCTAGCCTCCCTCACATGGTTGTTGTGAGGATAAAAAGAGAGGAAGAGAATTACGTAAGCCAACCAGTGCAGGAATAAAGGTGTAACAGAAATACGCATGTGACTAGGGTTAATCTTGAAAGGGCTGGGTTCAGATTTGAACCCAGCTCTCACACCAGAAAGCATTTGTACTAGGTCCCCTCCTACATCTGTTGGCCCCCTTGGGTGAGCCAACAAACCACTCACCATTTTAATTAGCCATAATCCCCCAGGGTGCCTGACATTTTAATTTCCCTTAATGACCAGCCACAATAGGCACTATGGATAATTTAAATGGTGGGCCACTTGGTGCAGGAGTCCCAGGATCAGTATCAACAGTGGCTCCTACGGGGACCCTGGGGCCCTAAGCAGTAGGGGTGCTGGGTGTGGGTGCCATTCTCAGTGGCTGGGTCACCTGGGGAGGCAACCAATATGGTCCTCATAACAGGGGCATCCCCTATGCAGCCTGACGCCTCTGATTCACATAGGGGAATCCTGGCCTTTCAGTCTTGCAAAAGGCATCTTGCAAGCAAAGAGAAGTCAGTGAATACGCAGCTGGGGTGAGGGCGAGTGATGTTTCCTGGCCTGGCAATGGCAGGCTGGCCTCTCCACTGCAGGGAGGTCTCTTGGACCTCCTGCACTGTGCATGGATCCAAAAAGGCACTGCTCCCACCCCCAAGTCTTGGCAGGAGACCAGGCCCTCCCACTCACCCGCCCCAGCACAATGGCGAGCATTTTGCTGCACAGTAACTGCACAGCCGAGCTAGGCTGATCTTGAGACGAGTGAAAGTACTGCTAGGATGTATATGCCCCTGTGAGTCACCAAAGCGAAACAGGGAGATAAGCGAGCCTGCATCCCACTCGGAGTGCTGGTGCTTTTTTCTTTCCTCCCTTCATAAAATCGCAGGCCTTTGCTTAGCCTCAGCCATCTGAAAGAGGAAATTAGCCGTGACAGTGACAACAAGGAGGATGCACAGCCCGCCCACCACGGGCTTCTTGTGGCTTGCTTGCCTCTGAGCTGCCAATCAGCCTTCTGGAAGGAAACACGCAACTCAGTCAGACTTTGCCATCAAGCACGGTTGTCACAGATAGTTCTAAATTTGCCTACCTGTGGCTGAGTGGGCATATACAGAGGTGCACTGGCCTAAGCGCTCCACTTGTGCTGAGTTTCCTGTCTGAAGTCCTTCCAAGGAGCAGCTCCAAAGTAAAGGGCAGCCCCTTGCAACCAGTGTTTACAAACAGCCTTTCATCACAATATGCGACTAGGCCAGTGTGGCCAGTGTGCCATTAAGAGCGTGGGACAGGGATCAGGCAATCTGGGTTCTAGTTCCTGCTCAGCCATGGAGCCAACTGGGTACCTTTGGACCAGTCAGACTCTCAGCCCAACCTGCTTCATGGGGTTGTTGCTGTGGGGATAAGATGGAGAGCAGGAGGAGAATGCTATAATCCACTTCGAGTTCTGAAGAGAAGAGAAGAAAAAGGTGGGATATAAATCTAATAAATAAAATAGATAGGCTGGGAAAGAGGAAGGTGATGGGCAAACCCTTTGAAGCACGGGCCAGCTTTGTGAAACACAAGAACACAGAACGGCATAGCAGAAAGGATGCTACTTAGGAACACAGGAAGCCCCCATATACTAAATCAGACTATAGGTCTCTCTAAACCGCATTGGCAACACTGACTGACAGCAACTCTCCAGGGTTCCAGGCAGGATATTTGCCATCCTTGGTAAAACCTGGGATTTCTTGCAGCCGAAGCAGATGCTCCATCTACTGCACTCAGTCCACAGCTCTAACGTATGCTCCACTGCACTGCGGCCTCTTCCCAAGGGAGTCACTGCTGTTGTTCTAAAGGACACCACTCGAAAAGGAACATAGAAAAATGTAACTACAGCATCAGTGAGATGTCTTCAGGAAACCCAAAACAGAGTTTGAAGGCAACAGGCACTCCCCAACAAGTACTTCTTTATATGGAAATACATCATTCTTTGTACATTCTTCTCTGTAAGTAATGTTCTGATGTTGTGATGGTCTATAGAAGTTGAGAACAAAGCAATGTACCGAAGGAAGGGTCTGGACTTAGGTCAGCTTCACAGCTCCCTTAACAGCTATTTGTCTGATCACCTGTGATGACTCAAAATTACCTCCAGGGGATCAAAGGAAGAGACATGGATTGGAGTTGGTTCCCCACATTATTTTTTTTCCTTCCAGAATATCAGTATTCCACAAGTGACTGAGCTGAACATGTATGAGTAGACAGAATGGATAACCTTTTTTGTAGGCTACTAGATATTCCAGACTTTTTCAAAGCCACCTTAAACAAACCTTACAAAAAGACCTCCTGATTTGCTTAAATGCAGGAAAGCCAAGTCTAAAGTTCTTATTCATCAGATTCCATTATGCATGCATCCCTGTGCATACATACAAGCAAACTGAGGCTTTCAGCTTTCTTTTTTTTAAAATAGCAGTTCCCCACATCTCACTGGAGGATATTCTTGCAAATTTCAGAGTTCCGAAAGCAGTTTCTAAGGGAGCACATTGCACAGCAGGGCAGCTTCTCGGTCTTCATCTCGCTGTAAAGTTAAAAACCCCCTTGCACATGAGAAACCTGCAGTGCACCTCAAGTGGAGCCAGTCCTTGAAGGCTTAAAAGTCATTGTCCACAGCTATTACTAACCAAATGAATCAGAGCCTGTGCGGTCAATCCTATAACTGCCTGAGAATGTAAAGTGCTATATTCTTATTAGTCACTGCCATTGTTTGAACTTCTGAGTAGCTCACCTACTGAAAACAATGAGTGCATGCTAAGAAATTTTTCTTTTTCTTTTTGAGGTCATGTATGATTCAGGTCAGAAATCAAAGCACAACTTCAGCTATTCATAGCAAGCCACCCTGAATGCAAAGAGAAAGTGTAGTAAAGAGGACTCAAAGGAGACAAGTCTGTTTTTTACAGTGGGATCCAGAGACTGCAGCTCCTGGGACAAATTTGTCCCACTGATTCTTGCAGTAGTGAAAAAAGAGATGTGGATGAACAGCACTGGTGGCTGTGGAAATAGCTAGCTGGCCCCACTTAGGGATGCAGAGGGAGGGAAATGCCATCCCATTCTCCTCTCAAAAGCAAAACTTCTTGCTGACCACAGTTTTACGCTAAGCAAGTTTTGTTATAAGCAAAAGCCCTTCATCAGTCACTGATGCCTCTAAGTGACTCATACACCTATCTGCCACTTGAAAACTGTATAGCACAGCAGCAATTTGAAAAACTTTCACTTTGCACTGTACCGCTTTCTTTTTCAACAGAAACCCAGAAATTCCAGAAGAGGCGTTTTCTTCCCTTGTGCTGCCGCAGTACAGGGTAAGGAAGGACAGGCTGAATTTTGCTTTATTTCAGTGTTCTTTAAAGGACCAAAAGTCCACTCCCTTTTTGGCAACACAGGCAGCCTAGATATTGCAATGAATACACATTTTCAGCTGCCCTCCATCTAAGAGTGATCCTTATAGCATTACCAACAAGTCTTATTTTATTTATCTATTTAAAACTTTTTTAGACCGTCCTTTACCGTAATCTCGGGAAGGTTTAACAGTAAGACAAAAATAAAACAAAACACAGTATCGACCTTGTTCTTAGACATAGCTCCATATCTTTGTTCCAGTTCTCTTGTTCCACCAACCAACAGCTCTGTTTTCTGACTCAGCTGCAGTATCTCAATATTCTTTAAGTATTGATTCCCTCAGAGCTGCTCGGTTATTTGGAATTAAATACTTGCACAGGGTTACATCAAAAAAAAAAAAAAATAGTACACCATATACTAAAAAAAAATGGTTTTGTAGAGTTACTTGTAACAGTAGTGATAGATTCCAGCAGCCATACAATCTAACCTCCGGTAAATTGTCTCTTGGTAGATGTTCTTATTTAATTTTGCTGGCTCTCTGTCAAAATGTCCTTTTGGTCCCCAAGCAATAAAGTCTTTGCATAACCTAAGTTACTGGGACATGAGGGAACAGGAGGTTCCCAAAGGACAGCACCTGCATTTGTGCATCATGTTTGTTGTGACGCCCCCATTCTTGGGGCTCCTCTGGTGCCTCACCTGTCTACTCCTACTGAAAAGGAAATCCTACCTTTGCAGGAAACCAGAGGCGGTGCTAATCGTCTGTTGGGCTGTTCAAGGCATGGGAAAGAGACTGGCACCTTGGGGGAAGGAAGAGGGGTACCAGAGCAGTGCTGAGCCCCAGCCCTTCCTTCTGGGAGCAGCAGGGTCAGTTTATCACAGCAACTCACTCCTCTTTCCTGCTTGGTGTCATGGAAAGATAAACACATTTTCTTGCTTTCATTTCTAGTCACACTGGCCCCATCTGAAGAACTGCTTTTAGGACCCAGTCCCACAAGTCAAGGATGTCTTTGATCAGTCAGATTAGAGAAATAATGTGAAATATGGCATACCTGGTGTCTTCTCTGTGAATACAACCTTAGATTCTGCGGTAAAGTTCTGGCCAGTTAAGATCATCTGCTGTCCACCATACACCAGGCAGCTGTCCACATCTTGCCTTTCAATCATTGGAAGTTCATGGGCAGAGCGTTGGGCTGTGGACAAAATAAAGACAGGAATGAAATCAAAACTTTTTTTTTACTAGGAAATGTCAGAACTACCCACAGGGTCTATTTTGTCACCATGACCATCCCCTGGCTGCCAGAGGAACTTCTCCATGTGGCTAAATTTAGGGCTGAAAAAAAGGAAGAGGAAAAAGAAAACTTATACTCAAAAGCATTTTTATTTGGAAATATTTGGGAGCTGGCTCCAATGCTTCAGCTGTGCTGGCCTTACTTCTTGTCCCTGACAAAGGAGAATTTGGTTGAATGAGCTGGAATCAGCCCATGTCTATTTCCAAATCAGTGGCCAAATATTCAAGTGCAAGTACACTACAATTCTGGAACCTTAAATATACCACCTGCAGATTGGATTCCAGTGAATAAATCCTGAATTCCTTTAAGCAGAACTAAAGCACAACTCATTCCAAGCTAAAATATGAGCCTTTTTTAACCATCTGAGTAGCAGAAAAGTGTCCAGTCCCCAAAACTTTGCCCTTCTGCTGATATACATGAGCATGTATATGTAAATATGTACACTGTTCCTTTTAATACTGAATCGGTGTGGTTCTGTGCCAATCGCTTTGAGAACAACGGGTGTAGCCACCACGAACCAGACAATTCAGCATACCTAGAGAAACCCTGAGGCATGCAGAAGCATACAATCTTCAAAATTATGTTCACCAAACCCATAGCACATTGTACCTACCATCCCTACTCCCTCGATATTACTACATGAACATTTTTCATGTGTGTCCAACTTCACTCTGCTCCCTTAACCATTACTGACGCTGAAGGGGCTGCATGTGTATGGGCATATTTTTCCCTTTGTCCATGGATGCCCTCCAACCCATGGACCCGGAAACTTGAGATAGGAATCCTTAGTTTCACCGAAATCATTGAATGGCCACCAAAGATCAAAGTTAGAAAGACCAGATGTTGCACATAAAGGACCCATCCATAGAAACTTGCATAATGTATATGTTCAATCTAACTTGTCATTGGGACCCCACTGGTTTTCCTGCCCCATCCAGAGCAACCATAATGAATAACAGTTGTCCATTTCCTGGTTCATTCTAGGCAAGTGTGCCATCTCTGGATAGAGAAGTTGGGGAGAACATAGATTTCCCTCTGCAGGTGTCGTGCTTTTTAAGGAGACTAATCTTGAGAACCATGATTCCATAAGACTGCCTTACAGAGCATCATTGTATAAGATAATTCATGGAACTTAGTAGAAGTACTTAGATAGATACCCAGAAAGATACAGAAGAACTGCCATTTGAGAATTCTTCCCCCACAACTGCAACATCTGGAAAGGATCAAGTCCTTTACTTTGACTGGTCCAGATGTGTCTCTAGGAGAACTGTATAGGTTAAGTGACCTAAGAGTTCAGGCCCTGAATTCAGACTCCTCCACACTCATCCAAACCCTGTAATGAATATCTCCAAATAATTCTGTTAACCATCTTTCCTTGAGAACTGCTTATTTTGTGTGTGTGTCATAGAGGTGGGGTGGAGAAAAGATGGCTGAAAAGCAGTGAACCTTTGACTGTCAGCCAGTTCTCACAGCCTTTTTGTTCTATTCCTGCTCAGGCTGAACCATAATCAAGGCACTTTGACTGCCTAAATGCTTTGCTATGAGCTGAGTCTATACTTATGATAACCAGCACTCAAGCTGGCATTGCACAGATTTATAGTGGTGTGCAAAAGCTGTGCCTAACAAATTGTACGTTCTGTTCTTGTATAGAATCGATCTGGGTAAGGCATTTTTTAAAAAGCAGCAGAAGATGGTTGAACAGGAAATCAGCTTTAGGTTAGTAGCGGAGTGGTTGAACAATGGGCTTCAAGCTACTTTCTGTGGCTGCTAGAAAGCAGAGATAATGGAGAACTGTGTTCTGTCCACATTTTTAAGTGAACAGGTTTAATTTGCACTTCCTCAACTAATGCACAGCCTGAGATGTACACCATGTACTTGTCAAAATTCTGTAATGAACTTTCCAGCTTTAAAAGTGCATTAAAACCACATAACTTAAAGAGATGTGTGTACAAAAATTCAGATTTCAGGAAAAAATATATGTACTTTAAATGTGCATTTTTGAATATCTTTTTTGTTTTTGTATCACCAACAACAGGTCTAAATGAGCATGAAACTGACAGAGCCTGGAAATAGACTAATCTATCCATCACTGCTAGAAAGACCTATGTTGAACATTTTGAGGACTGATTTTTGTGTATTTGCATACTCTTGCATACTCAAGTCTGAATACACAAAGCTAATTTATATCAAATGAAAATACTGGTCAATATAGACCCAACCTTTGAGTGGTACACCTTTCCGATGGTCCCAAGAAAACATTTTCTCTAGTGCTACCTATGAGCTTTAGGACATACCAGGGGTCAAACTTTGACCTCCCTTATGCCAGACACAGGTTCTGCTACTGAACTGCCTTCGCATTTATGTGTATCTGAACAAGTTTGTTGCACTCCTGCAGGGTTTGATACTGTTAACTGAAAACAGTGCAGGCCAGGTGGGAAAGAAAGGTTTGTAGTATGCATTAAAAACTCCCAGATCAGTACAGTTCTAACACCAAATATAAATATGCCAAGTTTAAAAACTGTCCAATGTTATGCAATGTTTATTAAGTCTCAACTGGTCATAAAGAGTCATTCACGGGGTGATTACTAATCTACTTAACAATAAGTACTTTCCATAATACAGCTCAGAACTATCACAATTAATTATTCCCACAATTTTAGTTTGCTTTTTTAAATTGAGCACACTTCATAGTGTATTCATACAGCTGGCCCAAAAGGCTGCCAGTAGTATACATTAAAATTACTTTCACAGAAGTTGCTTATTTTTTCCACATGGCTTTTACGATAAATCATTCTTTGTAAATAGTCAAGGTTCATAATTGGATTTACCTCTAACAGAAGATTTATACTTTTGAAAACTCAAGAGTAAATGATAGCTAGCAATAAATAAATAGATAAAAATCCATCTATAGCAGTCAAGGGAAAAAAAGCTTTAAATGCTGCCTTTGAGAATATTTCTGCCGAGACAACTGGGCATTTCTGAAGGGAGTTCCAATGTAGTTTGACAAAGGTATTTCAAATATGTGCATTCTGTTTTAAAGGTTTCACTTTAAGCGACCAAGTTTACTGAAGACACCTAACTGTTTCGGGTTATTATATCTGAAAAAGATTTTGAGGAGCTCCAAAGTGTCTTCACCAGCCTTCTCCAACATAATGCCCTCCAGATGTCTTAGAATGCAGCTTCCATAATCCCTGACCACTGATCATGCTGACTGTGACTGATGGCAACTGTAGTTCAAAAGTTCCATGGGGTGCCATATTAGGAACATAAGAAAAGCCATGCTGGATCAGACCAAAGGTCCATCTAGTCCACCAGTCCCTACTCCTCCTCCTCCTCACTCCTCCATACTTACAAGAACACCCTACTACCTCCTTGAGAGAACAACTTTGCACTAAAGCAGGAATGGCTCCATCTTGCCCAGCGGTTTTTTTAAACATTCACTGAGGGTGGCTCTCGGTGAATTTAGGCAGAATTTAGGCTCTGATATCCCTGAAGCATTTGAAAGCAGGACTTTCTAGGACAGCAGTGGGGAATCTATGACCAGTGGAACTTCCCCATGCAGCCTGTGCAACTTTGGGAAATGCCGGGGATTGAACCCACAACCTTTGGCAGTTGAAGCATGTGCTGCACCAGTGGGCTATGGCTGAGAGAGGACACAGGCCTTACCATTAGGAGAACCCAAGCAGTAAATGTTTATTCAGCTCCTTCTGTAAAAATCTCCAAACTGGAAGCAGATCTGTTTCCCTAAACAGGACAGCTGGGACATTTTGTCAAGGTTCTAGGCAAGGCACAGCTTTCATTTGAGCCCTGTGGCAGGTCCTAAATGCAACAAGGCACAGGAGAAGGACCGGGACCCCACAGGCCCCTCTGTAATTAGTCAATTAATATCATGTATTTGTTCAGGCCCACTGATCTCTGTCAAATAGGGAAAGAATCTTAGGCTTAAGATTCAACAAACAATGCACAATATGCAAAATAAAACATCAAACCTGATACAGAATGTGTAGAAGAATGTGTAAAACAAACTAACAATGAAATCATATGAGAAGAAGGACTTTCCTTGTAATACCTAACCACATGTGGAACGACTAATTTTAATTTTACTTTTTTGCATTGCAAATGTAAATACGGCAGCCATATGACTGACATTTGTCCCTAACAGTAACAAGAGCAAAATTCCACTGCCTCCCCTGTGTTACGCATTTCCCCTAAAAATTCTGTCAAAAATCTTGGCCAGGGAAAGATGTAGGATGGAAATAGATTATGACTGCCACTAAGATGGCTAGTTTTGGGGCTCTCCCTCCTATGATGCACACAGAGCTGATTAACTGAACATCTATGTGCATGAACCATTATGTGCATCAGCTCAGTTCTGCCCATTCTGAGAGAGATCTGCAAGTCAAAATCACATTTTTGGACTCCACCATTTACAGCAGCCTTCTCAAAGGTGGGGTCCTCTAGATTTGTCAGATCACAGCCTCCACCATCCCCAACGAGTCTGAATGCCAAGATGGGCATGGCTTTTATCCCATAGTTTGCCACTCTGTTGTTTTTGTTTAATGAATAGGTGGTATGTGTTGTGGTGGCGAGTCAGATGAAGGCTGTGAAGCTTTAACTCTTTGACCATGCTACTGCCCTGGCAAATCTTCCATTGGCTCCCTACCCAGACCACTTGTTTAAAAAAAAAAAAGCTGCAGGACACCAAACTGCATGGTAAAAGTCATGTCTAATCAAGCCTTGAAAGAGAGAATAGCTCACAGATAAAACTGCAAAGGTGTGATAAATGCTTTTCTACCAGCACTGTTGCTATCTGTGTCCAAGTGCAGAAACGAACTGGCATCTTCATAGCAGTTTAATCCATCTTTAATCAAAGTTCCAGTCAATTTGAATGTTTGGGAACT